TATATTTATTCACTATGTAGGTGGTCACAAATCAATCGTATTTTGTGACTATTTGGTGACGGATATCTATCTCTCCAACAAGAGTCGCTATTGAGTTGCTAATATGTGACTACTCAACGACTGAATATGTTAGTCGCAAATATGTGACTATTTTGCGTCTCGTATTCTCGTAGTCACTGATTAGTCATATATCAGTCACAAACCAGTCGCAAATTTAGTGACTACAAAAACAGTCACAAACGAACTGTTTTCTTGTAGTGGTTCTACAAACTGATTCTGACATCTGAATTTGTATTGTCTTTTCCACAACTTGATCCCCCAAAAAACTATATGTCATGTCCTTTGGATTACGATGGATAATAGTTAGACTATGTCAAACATTTTCTACGTTCTACAATATATTATTTTAAAGTCTATATTCACTGATTATTTGGTTTATAACTGGAGAATTTTCAGGTTTAAATGTTATATAGTGATGGCTCACACACTTTTTTTTTTTAAGGTTTAGTATAGATTTGTTCTGAGAAATGAGTCAAATACTCATTTTAATTTTAAAAGGATAAACAAGAAGAGCCTTTACCTTTCCATTCCGAATTGGAAACCTTGGTGTGGACTATAATATGCATGTTTTGAATACCAGAAGTAGCTATACAGACAGTTTGGAACAGGGAAGATAACTATTTCAATTTGGTTGTTTGTGTAAAATACAAATTTGGATAATAGAGTATTAATTGTGTAAGAAACAAATGATGTAAAGTAACATGTGACTTTGTGCAAAATGACTATTTAAAACAAGACAAAACTTTTTATACGTATATATCAAGAAAAGTTCAACATCCGAAAAACAAGAGGAAGACATTGTAATGAGAGAGTGTAATGACTTGAACCAAATTTTAGAAAACATAATGCAACTTCTAAAAGCGTGGAAAGAAAATTCAAATCTTAAAAAGTGATTTTAGACACAGCTTTAATTATTGTCAACGCTCTCAACCGGTCATTAATTAATATCATTTGGATTAATGAATTTTCTTCTATCGTTTTCTTAGATATAT